CCGACTTTCCTACATAGAACCGGTAGCTGCATGTTTGGTTTGATTCTCCGTACCCTACCACCCTACCACCCTACCCTATCGTTCCCTACGCATAAACCCGCAAAGAAAAACTGGCAGAAGCATGGACAGCAAGCCAGCCGCACGCACAGTCAGGGGGTTTCCCTTCTCCGCGTCAAAGCATCTTCATGCACCACCCCTACTTGCACCGTACAGGTCTAGCCAACCAACCGTTTCCAAAAAACTAATCTTGGTGGCGTCCACTCACAATCCAATCTTCCTCCCACCCTGCCTGAGCCCACTCACGGCTCTCACGGCTCTCTCGCTGTCCAAACTCGTTGCCAAACTAAACAATGCTGGGCCACTGCAGCCGCCCTGGCACGGCCGACGGTACCGGTAGCCCCAACTCTGTTTCAGTCGCTGATGAAGGGACCTACCCACTGCGAATGGATAGCTGCTCCGATGCCTGGTTACCAACACGGATGCCTGGGGAAATGCGAGGCTGCCAAAACGGGTCGCATGAGAGAGAGGAGAAGGGGAAGGGGGAGGCGCGTGGCCAGCTGTACGAGGCTAATCGAGCGACTGTGCCACACCTCGTGCTCTCTACCGGTAGGAGGTACCGGTACCTGTACGACTCGTATACAATCACAATCCCCATTCACTCAACTGACTCTGGGGTCTGGAATCTACCCTACAAGGAGTCAAGGACCAGGAAAGAAGAATCTGTTCATGTGAGTCCCCTCCTCTCCTGCACTAGCACCCGATGATTTCGCACTCGAGTCGCACCACCCCAACACTCGTCCATGTTTCGAGCTGGTCCTCGGCCCCTCGGCTTGGACTTGTGCAATGTACCTATCCAAGTAGGTACGCCTGGGTAGACCATCGTCAATGCATCATCATGCACGAGAAACATGTCTACCCGGTACCCCAAACCTCACACGTTTCCCGAACCCAGCAAAACAAATGGCAGGAACATTCATCCATCCATTCACTCATTCATCCACCCACCAACCACCAATCTTCATCCATCCCTTCCCCATTTCATGCCCGCTTAGATGGCATTTCACTGCGCCTCGCTCGGAACAATGGTTCTACTACGGGGGCTCTAACCATTTTGGTCACGACATGCAACCTTGTTGAGAGAACCTGGACTACCTAGGTAATCTACCTGAGCCATGGGGGCACCATGGCTCGTGTAATCTTGGAACAAACAATGCAAGTGTAGACAAATCTCCATCCACCATCCAGGTCTGTAACCGACATTTGCTCAACCCCATGGACAAAACAACTCTTCGCCATCCCGCCCTCGCAGCAAACATTGCCGGCGGCGTAGTAGCCTGCGCTTCAAAACAGGACATTGAATCATAACACAGCCACAAGGCTTACCTACTATGCAACGATGCAATGTGCGACCTGCATGTCCACTTTCATTGTTCGAGAATGATTGCTCGTGTCACTCTGTCCTCCATCATACCCATCACACCGTCCTACCACCACCGTCACCGTCACCGTCACCGTTAGATTAAAAAAACAACCGCCCGTTGCACTAGAGAAGTAGAGTGCCTACCCCATGAACTCATGGTAGGAGTATACTCTAGTAGCTCCGCGCTTTTGAATCTAGCCGCATCCTCTACCATAGAGTTGTAGGCTACCTGCACGATAAACACCATCCAAGCGCCCCCTTTACCCTGCTGAAAAAAAATCTCCTAATTTCCGATTCCCGCATTTCCGATGCTTGTTTTTGAAATACAATACCACCACTCCACTCCACCACCCTCCACTCTTCTCAACACACATCCTCGCCATCGCCATCGCCATCCCAACTCCAAATCTAATTCTAAACCTAGATCCAACCCCCCCATCCACACACCACACCACATGCCCTCCCCGAAAACCCCACAAATTTGCAAAATTACAATCTGCACATGCAAGCCGTTACTATTCCCCAGATACGCACGATTACGTACTCTACAGTCTGCTGTACAATGGTCTGTGGCTGTGGCTGGTGTAGTACCCAGTCCCACACCTGCCACGCTGCGCAACGGTAATGCATGCAACGGGAAGGGTAACGCACATGACGCGAATGCAGATTTATTATTATTATTGTTTTCTTACACACTTTCTTCGAAAAGAGAGAGATAGATGGATAGACGGACCGATGCGTTGCAAAGCCAGATTTTCGTTGCATACGACAAAGATGACGTGATGATATGATATGCACGTGATACCTGCCTACACTCAAGTGCTCGCATATGCACGGGGGACAAACAGCGTGCAATACCTACTCTACAACCACACGACCGTGTTTGATACCATACAAATGCACTTTGGACTCAATCCCCATCCAAGAACAAAAATCTAAACTACAACTACAACTACACAAACGTTCCCCCTCCCACCCACCGCCGCAGCCCGACTCAAAGAGGGAAGCAGGAGGAACCCCAAAAAATTAGGCTGTCTATCCATTCAACCTCAAACTTCCTCGTCACTCTCCTCGCCCAACAACTCCCCCTCATCCGGATCCACAACCGCATAATCCCCCCTCCCCCTCGCAAACGAACTGCGACTCGTATACGTCCTGCCACCATACCCACCGCCCATGCGACTCGCCAGGAAATTCCACAGACTGCCCATGACCAACGGAATGGCGGTGACGACAGCCACGAGCCCCGAAACGGCGGCAACAGGCCACTTCACCCACGCCGCATCGCTGTCAAAACTGCCGCCATTCTCTCCCAATCGGATACGACCAAACTTGCCGTCCCAGTTGCGCCAGACATAGTAGCCGATGCCGCCGGCGGCCAAAAAGGGCAGCACGACGGCGAGGAAGATGCCAAACCCGGACAGGCCGTGCTTCTTCTCGAATTCCTCTTCAAAGCCGGGGCAGGCGTGCACTTCGCCAATCTGATCCATTTCCTTGCCTTGGCACGTCGAGAGGGGGATTTTGCGGTACGGTGACGGGTCCCACCATTCCTTTGCGCCTTTGGAACACACTTCCTTGGGGTCGGCCAGTTCGAGGCCAGGAATCTTTTCGCATTCGCCGCCGGGCTTGCGCTCGTAGTTGTATGCACTGTAGTATTGTTAGTATCGGGCAAGAGTTTCAGATAAGGGGTGAGTTTAAGACGTACCATTCGTAGTCACGCCTGGTGCAGGTGCAGTTCCGGGCAATGTTGTGCATGTGATCAATACGCTGCTGCGTCTTGCACTGAGCACCGCGCTTTTTACGGTGATATTGCGCTACGTGGCCAAAAAGACAGTCTTGGTCACCGTCTTGCAAAGGATGCTGGGGGGACCAGAGATCAAAGTCACCAGCCGTTGGGTTGTCCTCGTCGATTTCGCATTTGCGCTTGAAGTCAGGCAAGCCAGAAAAGTCAATGTTGACTGCAACAAGTTCTTTGCTGTCCTTGCCCCATAAGAGGAAGTTGAGTGAGGTGTCGCTAGGGACCGTGGTGATGGCATCGACCCGAATCTTGTGTTCGGAGAATTTGTAGAGGTTCCACTTCTCGCCATAATCAAGAGAATAGTATATGTGGTCCGTGTCTTCACCTCGGCGAACAATGGCGATGATGGCTCCTTGATCACCAAACTCCCAAGCGTAGGTGCCCTTTTTGATCTCCTTCCAGGTGATACCAGCATCAATCGTCATGAAAGTGCTGGCTTCGCCAAATGTCGTCAGCTCAGAACCGACGTTGCCAACCGCAAGCATCATGCCTACAGCGGTCGGCGAAGAGTACATCTCGCGAGGATCCGCACGCTCAGTGTATCCGTGAATGTGAAGACTGCACTTCTCTTTATCCGAGACATCGCATTTGTAGGGCTGATCCTCTGAATCCTTCTCAGGGGCTTGTAAAGGCTCCCAAGCTGCACCATCGTTGTGAGTAATGCGACTTTGCTTTCGCTTCTTGGTACCATTGTTGACCTCGTCAACATTGGCCACAATATTTGCAACAGCGACACCTTCAAGACCCTGCATCTTCTCAAAGTCGACGTATCCCTCCGTGTTGCGGTTGACACCGCTCAAGCTCATGACATACGAAGTGCCATTACTGTTACTCTTGATGATAGAACCATATTCCTGATCCCTCTGCGGGTTGACCGTGACGTGTAGGAACACTGCATGGGTTGAACTGTCCAAGACTGTGTATGCCGTTTGGTGAACATCGAAGAACTTTGGTGGGAACTTGGCCTCTGCAAAAGTGGATCCGTCCAGGGTAGCATCGAGGTGCAACGTTCCGTCATCGGCCTTTGTCGCTACCACGATAAATTCAGCCATGGTTGCAAATTCAACAACAGACTTGAATTTGACTTCCTTCTTCTTAAACCAGTCATCACTAGAAATGAGCTGCAGCGGTGCGCCCATTTCCTCGTTCGTGTATTGCTCGCAAAAGACCTGCTCTTCTTTGACCTTCCGCCCAGCTTCCCGCCAGATGAACACACACTTCTTGACGTAAGGCACCATGGGTTCCCAGCTCTCTTCTTGTCCATTCTTCTGCGAGATGTATGACACGGTATGACAGTCTTTGTCGCCAACCTTTTCGCAGTTTTTACCACCCATCCATATCAGCCATCCTTTTTGATTTGGATGAAACCGCATGATCTCGAGCCTCTCCGTGTTGGGCATGGTGGGTGCCTGGAATGAATGTATACTGTCATGCAATCCACGATCCTCGGAGTAGTACACCTTCTTCGTGGCCGTCAGGAAGTAGACGTAGTTGTTCTCGTACTGATGGGGATAGATTCGGACAATCTCATCGTCCACTGCCTTCTTCCATTTCTTTCCATGATCGTGAGTGATCCAAGCGGTACGTTCGTCTGTCAACATGACAACTGTCTCATCTTTGTCGCGGTCGTTTGGCTTGTCATCATCGGCTTGAGCATTTCGTTCGAGATAGTAGTATTCTTGGAAGTTGCCACCCTTGAACTTTGTGAGCTCGCTGGTGATCTTGTTGCTCTTGGGTGGCTGCTTCTCTGCGTCACCACAAGGACGCTCCACCTCCTTTTCTCGGTCCGTCTCGCCCTTGCACTGGTTCCCGGGGATCTTTCTCCAGCCCGATTTGTCCTTGAAGGTTTTGGCGTCGCCTTCACAAGCACCTTCCGGTAGTTTTCTCGAGTCGGAAGGTACACATTTCTTGTCCTTACCCTCACCGCTTGGATCGAAACCAAAATCGCATTCGTAGTCTCGGATCTCGTCGCAGTCGCAAGGCTCGAACGTCGGAACAGGATCATTGAATACGTCGCCAATGAAGCACTCAGCATCCCATTTGCGCCTGCGGAATAGCTGCTTGTGGCCCATGACGCAACTAGGCTTGCCATCCGTCTCTTGTCGTACAGACCACTTGTCATCGAAATCTTTGTCTTCACACTTGGGAAGCATGTCGGCGAAGTCCAGATGGATAATGACGTGTTCTCGGCCTCCACCCTCTTTCTTCCTAGATGCGTACATCATGAACTTGAGACTCGTCGCGTCGGGAAGTGTCGTTAGTTCTCGAGCTCGGATCTTGTAGTCGAGCTTGATCTTCTTCCAGCTATCTTTCCGTCCATGCTTGAAAGAATATCTAATCTCGTCGGTGTCCCCTTCGTCGAAGACTGCGACCAGGACCGAACCCTGATCGCCAAATTCGTACTTGTGTGCTTCGCTAAGTGCCATCTCCCATGTCAGGCCTGCGTCATCAGAAACGTATAGATCACCGTCTGTGTATTTTCCCAGGTGTTCCCCGGTATTTCCCACTCCCATCACGATGCCTGGTGCCGGACTTGAAAAGACGCGGCCGCTGTTGTGCAGATTTGTGACCGAGTGAAGGTGTAGTTCATCGTCTTTGCCTTTGACAGTAAGCTTTTCGAATGATCTTCCATCATCAAAGCTGATGCGCGACTTCAGCTTCTTGTTCTGGCCACTCTTTTCGTACTCTTTCCAATTGTCAACGGTGTTCACCAGCACCACTCCCTGAATATTGGCAATCTTCTCAAAGTCGACGAATCCGTCCTGGTTGCGATTGGTATGTTCCACATTCTTGGTGAAGTAAGTGCCCCTTGAGTTACTCGTGTACATGTTGCCCATGTCGACGTATTTCGAGGTCATGACATCCACCTGGATACTGTAGTTTGTCGACTCGAGTATGGTATATGCATCCTCCTCAATCTTGTGGTCGCCGAATTGCGCGTGGTGCCATGTCTCAGTGTCTTGGGTTGTGTAGAGGGAGAGCTCGTTCGAGTGGTCAGGTTTGCTAGCAACAACAATGTAGCCTTTCACAGCTGCCATATTGGTCATGCCCTGTACGGTTCGTCCGGACGACATCTTCGGTTCCTCGCTATCTTTGAAGAAGCTGTCTTTTGTTAGCATCGCCGCCACGGGTGGGGTCATATTGAGGCTTACTTGTCTGAAATTAGGAGTCTGAAATCCTTGGACCTGTCGGAGTACTTTCCCCTGGTAATGCATAGTATCCGTGAATCGTGCTTGTCCTCGCCTTCCAGAAAGCGCTCAGAGCCTTTGGCCCATTGACACATGCGACGGTCTTCGACGAGGACTTTCGGTTTCGACTTGAAGCCGTCGGTGGTGTAGTATGTCTGTCGTCAAGTCAGCATCCTCTGAGTAGTGTCTTCTAGATGGTGCATACTCTGCCCAGACATGGCGCCAAAAAGCAGTCCTCGATCTCGTTTACCAAAATCTTCTTGTTGTCTGACGCGTGCCAACCGACAGGCGCAACTGGCGAGGGCGGGAACTCTGTCTCGAAGCTGTCCCAGTTCTCCCCCCGATCGTATGTGATCCAGTGCTTCTTCTCGCCCAGAACTATGGCGGCTTTGTTATCGTATGGACTCTTGGTTATCCGTAGTACCTTGCTCACATCCTTTATCTGTGACCAGCCCTTGCCGGCATCGTGTGAGCGCCAGACGTTGCCGTTTTCGATTTCCTGTACCAAGGCGACTCCAGAATCGTCAAAGTACATGAGATTGATGAGGTCATTCTTGAATGCGGTCGTCTCGATGAGCGGCTCGTCTTTCTTGGCAGCAATCGAGGGTGCTAGTGCCAGCAGGGCGGGCAGCAAAAGGCCCCTGAGATATTTCATGGTTGCATAGAGGCGTCGAGGAGGATAAAGTGTGGGATAGGTGGGGTGAGAGGCAGGCGCTGGCGTGTGCTATGTAATGAACAGCTGTCTGCTCCGTTCTCTCAAGCAACAGCCTTCGATGACAAGCTGCGGCCCGCTTGGCAGCCTGAAACAATCCTGGTGCCGCACGGCGAAGCTTACTCCGATGGTGGCAACGGCGCGTACCTTGCGACTTGGAAGACGGTGGAAATAGGATTTACCAATGGTAGTCGACACAGCCTATCGAAAGGCTGGCTAAGGATGGAAGCGCGGATTCAGCCACACCAATGCAGTAGAGACGCGACGACGACACCATGGATAGTTCAACACAGTAGCAGGTAGAAGTACAGTAAGCTGGTCAAACACATTTCCAGCCTCACCAGTCGCGCGGTGACGAATGGGCGGACTTCCGCGGCTAGGTACCGATATCCCTGTGAATGCATTAGGCCGAAAATAGACAAGCGTCTTCCCAAGCTCCGTTTCACTCTTCACGACGTTCACGTTCGCAGCATGCATGTGCCACCATCATAACCATCATCCATCACTTCCATCTACATCGCTCCAGATCACCACCAGCGCTTGACCGGACAGCACAAACTTGAAACAGAACATAAATTCGAACCAAAGTATTCAATGTGAACATTTGACACTCGAATAGAGCGTGTGTACATATCATTACATCATGCTGTTTGGCTCGTACCGCAAGTCCATCAAGTACTTTCCAATAGGAGAGACTATCTATCATACATCAAGCTTCACATCTACCACATCCACCTAGCTCAGACGCCTTGATGTTTCTTCCAGAGCTTTGATTGCAAACGCAGTCACCACACCCCGATTTCCAATCCTCTTCCTGCTCCTACCATATCGACACACCCAGCCAGTTTCCCACCCCCCATCCACATCCTGCAACTCTTTGAGATACCCAACATCCGAATCGGCCCACACACCCATCACCTGACATGCAAGAACGCGTGCAGCAGTCGCAAATGAATCCTCGCGTCGACCGACACGCTCACGCAGAGCTGCCACCAGTGGTACGCGGAGCGCCTGGACTTCAGGAGCACCAGGATTGGCCTCGATGAGACAGGAGACAAAATACAGGAATGGCTCTGCAGAGTAGTACTCGAGCGATCCATCGACATAGCCACGGTTTACTAGCATACTTCGCACGTACTGTAGTTCGGCCTGAACATCGGCGCCGCGACCATAGTGGTAAAACGCACGGATTACATTCGCCATGACCACTGGGCAGACTCGTGGCCGTTTCTCGCAGAAATACGTCTGCACCAGACCGTCTCGGGAATGCCGATTTGCGAGGAAACGGTCTAGGATTACGTTCGCGGAGTGGGCAGGCGGCGAGAAGGCGAGGAGAGCGTAGGCCGTGTCGTCGGAGTCATCTGGGAATGTCTCTGTAGTTCCGATGGGATCACCAACAAAGTAATTCCACGTTCTGGCCTCGCACTGGGCTTTTGAAATCTTTGCTTTGATATCAGTGACGGAAGTGTCTGGTGGGGACAGGCTGATGATGCTAGAGTCACGCAAGACGGTGTAGATGAGAAACTGGGAGAAGGCATCTCGAAACTCGGGGCCGTCTTCAATCTGCGAAATATGGTTGTGTGCATTGATCTTCATGTACTGGCGAGCTCGTGCAACAGGATCAAAGAGTTGGTTGCGTAATTGGCGGAGCAATATGGCCGGAGATTCGAAGACAATGGCACGTACGCCAAAAAAGCGTGCTGCGTTGACGTTGGCGACTTTGTCATCGACAAATATGGCGGAACTTGGATCGGTGAGATGAATCTGGCTGAGCACATGCTTGTAATAGTCCAGGTCCGGCTTGATAATGCCCGCTTCAAAGGAAGTAAACACACGGTCGAACAAACTCCAGTTCGACAGTGTTTTCTTGAGAAGTACGAAATCGTCTCGCGAGATGTTGGTCATGGCGTAGACCTTGAGAATGCCGCCCATCTCTGTCTTGATCGCGTTCAACTGTTCCACGAGTTCATGGTCAACGCGCAGCGTTTGACGCCCTTGTGCCAGCGCTTCGTGGATTGAATTGGGGCTTAACGAAAGCTCGTCGCCAATAAGTTCAACGGCTTCATCCTCGGTAATTCTGCCGCATTCTAACTCGGCCCAAGTTGGCGAGAGAATGATGGAATGGAGAGTCGAGGGGGCGACGGCCTTGATGAACCGTGCAGACCAATGGAAGAGCACATCTCCCAGATCCAGAATCAATGTGCGGTTTCGTGACATGGTGCCATCATTTTTGTCTGCAGAGGATGTTGAATTCCCAGCGCTGCTAACAGTCTCCAAAGATGAATGTGAGTGCAGTGACGACATCTTGAGCTCTGATCTGGTGGGTGGTAGTAGTGTTAGCCCCGAATGTCGATTTCCTTGAGAGATTTGGAACTGTATCTGATCCCGTAAATAAGCGTGCGGTTTGTCGAATGTATGTACGGGTATAAATCCAGGCGCGATAGTCGGACTAGTGTGTTGGGCCCTTACCAAGCGGCCGGGGTATCCTTGAACCATTCACTTCAGGATAGCCTAATCTGTACGAATGTGTCATTTCAGCAAACAGGAGTGAAAGTGCAGTGTCATTACTGTTGTCCAGACTACGCATGTACAAGACAACACGTTAGAGGCACACAGACTCCATTGACTGACCTAGCTACGTAGAGTTCAATTGAGCAAACAGAATAAAGCTCTGGATGCAGACCTTGAGGAGACAGACGTTTGTTTCGCCTTGGTAAGCAATTGAGCGAGATGGGCATACCAAGGGCTTGGAATATGTACAACGACAGTCTTGTACATAGCCAACTCTATACATGCTCGTAGCAACTGCTCCAATAATGGCTTCTCTCCGGGAGGCCCACATTCTCAACCTCATAAGCATAGTAAGCATATCCTATGTTTCTGGTAGCCGTAGCCCGTGCCTCTCGATTGCATCTGGAGGGATCCCACCATGCAATAGCAACCAAATGTGTACTTCTCATAGTACGGACAGATTTCAGCGACAATTACTACCCGGTAGATTTGCCCGATCACGGTGTCTCCACCTTGAACGGCCTAATACATGACTCAAACGGCCGAGACGTCGGCGAGGCTTTATCTCGTGTATGTAAGTGTATACGGTAACAGGTGTGGAATACGCCAAGACGAACCTACAGAATTGAATATGCCCTGCTGAATGTAGTATTGTACCAAACGCAACTGGACCAATGCTGCATATCCTTCTCCCTTGACATCCTTGGTGCGGGCATATCTCGGGTTCATATGTAAGTAAGTCGGAGACTCGAAGTCACAGGCATCTAGGTGATCAGATGCCTCTACACCCTGGGTTCCTTGTATTAATCTCCCTATATCATAATATGCATGTACAACTTGATCAGTGTACTTTGTACTCCAGGTGGGTAATCTGCGCTGCTTGAGACCGACCTAAACCAAGTTGAAGCTTACTTGTTGTCTTGCGTCCGGCGTATACTCGAGCTTTTGACACTAGATGCGGACAGTCTTCTGATCGAAACTTTTTAACAACCCTTAGTGGTATTTGGTAATGTGCCGCTAGCTACGTTATGCTTCTGATATTTGCAGATCGAAGTCTCGACAAAAGTATCATTATATATCCAAGTCGAAAGACTTCATCATGTCTACAGTGATTCGCCTACATGTAGGTACTTCGCACCACATCTAAAAGCCAGGTCAACACATTCATAAAAGGCCCGACAGGCTACAACACCGCTTAACCAAATGACAGCCCGCAATATCACAGCTGTATAAGTTAGCGGGAGGATTTTGAGCAGGATGCTCGTGTCAGTCGTATCATTCATAGAAATGCCGCTAACCTAACAATTCCTACAATATAAACCAAGTATCAGGTCAATCACACATATCGGCATCCGACAGGTGTGAGAACTGGGGGTTCACCAGGTGCTGGGGATCGACCGGGTAGCGGTCATCGAAGTGGGTAGTGCAGCGGGATAGAACCCACTGTGGGTCAACCTATCTGCAGCGACATCCGGGCCAATAAACATTGGAAAGTGGGGTACATACATGAAAGAGTGTGGTGTGGTGTGAACGCCTCTACCAGAGTCTCAATCATAAAATGTATAAACATAATGTTAGTAAACGTAAGCCGTTCACAGTCCCATTTTCGCATCTCAATGTTCTAAGTTATGGATATATCTACTTTACCTACCACGCTCATCTCTCCATTCTTTCACGCACTCCAAGGCCTGAGTGATTTCGCAAACCCACATTCTTAGTCTACTTGTAAAAACGGGAAATCTCGCTTGCCAGTAGGTAAGATGATCCAACACTCGAGGATCCAAATGCAGCGATGTGCTGCACGACTTGCACATATGACCCAACTAGTGTAGATTGTAGACATGGAGCTTGTGGTCTAATGACCCTTTCATCGAAAGCGCGACTTTGTAATTCTGTAGCGAGGCGCTGACACACAAGGAGAGCTTCATGGAACTCCTTTACGGAGTATTTGTTCATGAATGAGATGCAGGCCTTAGGATTAGGAAGATGTTCTTGGCCAGTTTACGTAAGACATTTGTAGGTTAACTAGCATGTGCATACCGGTAGTTCCGTGAGTACGTATGGTACTTTTGCACTACGGTACAAAACCGGTTTACAGTAGCCATATTTATCTAAAGTAGACTAAGAAGTGGTTTAGGTAGAAGAAGTAAACCTAAATAGGGTTTATTATACCATGTATTCCACAAAAGTAAACTACTTTTATTTCTACTTCTATTAATCTACTAGTATTACGTAGTAATACCCTAGTTTCCTACTATTTAAGTATTTTACCACCTCCTTTCTTAATCTTCTTCACCACCTCTACCACCACCTCCCCCACCACCACCTCCATCACCACCTCTAT